ATCTGAAAAATTGCCCATGCCGACAAAGATAAGCCAAGGTTGCAGCAGAAAACCAGAAGCAGCAGAAAAAAAAAGGGGGCATTAGACCTTAGAGTCCAAATCAATTCAAGACCAGATAGCTGGGCAGATGTTTTGCAAGGCCGTCTCGTTATTACCTACCCATCTCAGGCCTTTCCTCCCCTGTAGTTGAGTGTGACTGGTACATAGTAGTTATGGTACATATCACAGTTACCTTACTGCACTGCATATGGAGATAATCTCACATATTGTACACATCCACCAGTAGCATACAACACCACCCACCCAGGGAACATTTTGACTTATACAACACGGCACAGCCTACAGTCTACCTACTGCTATATTGTCAAGCTTCGAGACTGGGGTACCTAAAGGCAATTATACACACAGTCATTTCATCCAATCACAAAACTCTACCCTTGATAAAGACCTCATCAGAAGTTGAAACATTGTTGTGTTCTCCAATAAACCTGCCTGATTCACACAACCTTAGTGTTTTATTTTGTTTTTTAAACAATGATATACACCCATTACACATTAATATTATTATTATTATATATAAAGCGCCAATAGAATCTGCAGCACTGTACGATTACATATACATCTTGAATCACACCAGTACACGTGAATTGGGCGCAATTTGCACACATATACGTTATGCCACTGAGACTAGTTGAGCATAATGGAAAACGTGGTTCACACAATTCTGCAGTGCGAATGTTAAATGGCATTACATTTTTGACTGGTGAACAAATTTCCCAAGCTGTTAATGATGCTCAGTTAGTCAATGGAGGTAGAGGGCCAGGATGTTTGAAAGGGCTGTTGAACGGGAAGGACTACTTTAACTGCACCTACACTTGGTGCAAAGAAAAGTCTGCACCCAGCTGTCATTCATCTTTTGCCTGGTGCATTTCAGTCATTCCCACTCTAATCTACTACATATTATACTTCCCAGAAGCCTTTGAGTGCACAGAAGGTGGAATACACAAAGAATGGAGGGGCGTTGTTTGGAGACCTTTGGGGAGATGGTGGAAAGACTGATTTCAATACAGATACATTGTGGACTTAGATAAGGGTGTTGGAAGATTACAAGAATGTGTGAGATGTAAGAAAACACAAGAAGAGACATAGCAAGGGTAAAGATTGTAATTCAACAGGGAAATCATGAAATATCTGCAGGGATAATGCGACTGGAATCACAGGGACAGCAGTAACAGCGACACAGGGACAAAGCGGTTCACATAAACAATCAGCAATAGCCTTGGTACAGGTTGGTGATATAGTTAGTTAGTTATGGCTAAGAACGAGATTAGAGGGGATAATGAAAGCAGATTAAATTAATACCAACAGACAGGAGGGCCATGAATGATAATATAGCGTGAATGCTGGAATCATGTTAATTAATTCTGTCCTGTCTTGTCTTTAAAGTATCTATGTCTGTTTCTCAGGTTTGGTATATATGTTTGCTACTTATGACCTGGGAGAGGCTGTTTGTTGGCAGCTTCAATAGCAGGTTCACTCCAATCTGCATCTCAGGTACCACGTCAGACAGGCACATGGGTACACCTACAGCTGTCTCACTGGGAGCTTGTATCACAATCAGCAGGTAGGTACTTCACATTGCTGCAGACAGCTCCCAGCTGAAATATACGCAGACAGCAGCCTATTGTCTAAGATAAATGGGTATGAGAACACAACCTGTATGAAAAGTAGACATCTTCACATCTGTTTCCTTTACCCAGTGGCGGCTTGACCAATATTCACCTACCAAATCCTGTTGCTTCACCAGTACTAGCAAGTCTGTCCAACCACTGTTTGTCCATGAAAAGAGGGAGGAAAGTAAGTAGGTTTGTCATGGTAGGATCACACCACCATGTCTAACCAGCAATATAAGTCACACAGCTAACACCATCTACAGCACCACCATCCATTCCACCTGAAACTCCACCAGATCCACCTGTCTTTCCTCCTGGTCCTGTAATGATTTTACTGCTATTGCCATGATCCCAGGATGGCTGTCACAGATTTCACCAAGCTCAGCAAGGCTCACCGATCATGACGTGAATGGTAGCTCACCAGCATCTATGCAGCTAGCAAAGCTACATCTAACCTAGTAGAAAGGATAAGAACTCTGAGAACGGACAAAAGCTTAGAGAGACTCGATAGCTTGTCCTTCAGTAAATCCCCGCTCAGGTCTCAAAATAATTTTTGCTCACTTGTGCCATTACAGAGAGAACACATCTGAAGCACATCAGACTGGTCCCACCCGTACGGGCATTCCAGATCTGAAATACCAGCAAGTTCCCTCTGCACAAGAGATACAACAACCCCAGACAATCATTTCAGCCTAGAGGAATATCAGCTACACCTCTCTGACAAGGCCCAGAGAAGGCCGAAACGATCATCTGGGGTTGCTGTATCTCTTGTGCAGAGGAAACCTGCTGGCATTTCGGATCTGTCCGTAGAGGTAGGACCAGTCTGATATGCTTTAGATAGGTTCTCTCTGTAATGGCACAAGTGAGCTAAAATTATTTTGAGACCTGAGCAGGGATTTGCAGAAGGACAAGCTATCGAGTCTCTCTAAGCTTTTGTCCGTTCTCAGAGTTCTCATTCATTCTTTTTTACTTTAATGCATTAACTTAGTGTCACGTATTCATCCGCTTATAAAAATGTGGTTAATGGCATTTACTGTGCACACAGGAAAAGTTGTGCCGAGCAGCAACCAAATCCACAGAAGGGTTAATGCTGAGCAGCAATTATGCAAATGGGAACCTGGTAACTGACTTTGGGGTCAAAGGCCGGTTACAGCCTATCAGATATAGAGGAGGGGTATTTAGGCCCAGTTCTCATCCTGTTCAGTGCCCTGTCGTGGTTTCCCTTGTGGTTGTCCGAGAGCGCGTTCCTGATTCAAGTTTCTTCTGTTTTTTTACTTTGGCTTTGATTTTGACTTCCCTGTATTCTGGTATCCCTGACTTCTGGCTTTCTCTTATCGTTGTGTCTCTTTCTGTATCCCCTGACCTCGGCAAGTATCCTAACTATTCTTTGGTACGTTAAGTCCGGCCATTCTAAGGCCCAGTAATACGTTACCTATTAGTCATCTGTGTGACACAATTCTACATGCTGGATCAACTGACATTACGACATGGCCATGGATCCTGTAGAATTGTGTCAGCAGCTTGTGAGAGAAAACTAGTGGAGAATGATCACCACATGGATCAGTTTGCCCAGGCTTTCAGTACGCTCCTTACTCGAACAGCGCATCTGCAACCTGCGGCTTCTCCAACTGTGTCACCTCCGCCTAATGTACCTCCTGTAGTACATAAGGCACCTACTATCTCCCTATCTCCTCCCCTGCATTTTGATGGTAATATTCAAGAATGCCGGGGATTTATTAACCAAATGGAGTATCATTTTGAGGCCTCACCGGGATCTTTTCCCACTGACAGAGCTAAAATTGGCTACCTGACGAACCAACTTAAAGGTAAAGCTTTAGCTTGGGCTAATCCATTATGGGAGAGTAGTAGGAGCATTGCACACAATTACCAGGAATTCCTTGCGGAATTTAAACTTACGTTTGAACCATTAGGCAGGGAGGATGACGCCTCCACTGCCCTAATGCATATTAGACAAGGGAACCGGTCTATCTTGGAGTATGCCATAGAATTTCGCACCTTGGCTTCCGAGGTAGACTGGACTAACAGCGGATTAATCTCAGCATTTAAGAAGGGATTATCTGAGACTATGTTGGATGAGATTGCTGCCAAAGAACTACCCAAAAAACTCAATGAGTTTATTACGTTTATTATGCTAATTGATAATAGACTCAGAACAAGAAATAAAACCAGATGTATGGCTTTGCCATTAGCACCTCATTACTCCAGACTGGTTGTTTCTGACCTCTCTATACAGTCCGAACCCAAACCTATGCAGTTGGGGGTCACTAGACTGTGCAAGGCAGAAAGAAAACATCGGAGAAGAGAGGGTCTATGCATATACTGTGGTTGAAAAGGACATATGAGGAGGACTTGTCCCATAAGTCCGGAAAACTACCGCACCTAGGAACCTAAGGGGGCAGGTCTTAGGTGTAATGGATATGTCCTCTGGGAATAACAATAATAGATTTCTCCTTGATATTACGATCATAGTTGACAAAAATAATTTTTCATGCAAGGCCCTGATGGACTCAGGTGCAGCAGGAAATTTCATTGATGTTCATTTTGTTAAAAAGAATGCAATAGGGGGCGGGGCCGAACCGCTGAGCTGGATGGTCGCATGCATACTCAGCTCCTGCAAGTTTCCAAACCTAAAGCCTTAAAACCAAGATTTTTTCGCTTCAAACGCGACCTCCAGCAACAATCCTCAATGCACAGGAGTATCCGAAACCAGGGTGAGGCTGGCTCCTCGAGCTACAGTCCCCTGGAGGAGAGGTCATCGGTATCCCAACTGGGGCCTACTCCGGCAGTGAGTGGGGTGGACGGCCGCTGCTCCACTATCCTGCCAACCGGAACCCTACCAGAGGCCCGAACCCAAGCGGACCGGACCCTGTTCCCCCCCCTCTGGACCGGTGGGGGTGATCCCGGTCCACACCCTGGGGCTCAGACCGCGGAGACAAAACCCGAGCCTAGCGACATTACCAACCTGCGATGTGGCCCAGGCGCATCAATCAAAATGGCGGATGCCAGGAGAACCAAAGCCAGAGGGAAAGAAAGCCCTCACTTCGAAGCTGCAGCAAGCAAGGTGGCATTCAGGCACAAGATAGCCCGATGCCCGCCACCACAAACAACAAGCACTCACTGCGACATCAAGACAAGATGCCTACCCCTCCAGACGCAACGCAAGACCGTTGCTCCAAAACCGTGGCAGGCCCGAAGCGGAAGGAAGGGTCGGAGGCACAGCAGGCCAGAGTGCACATTACAACACAGGCTACAGACACCCAAAAAACGATTTACCCTCAAGATGCAGTGGGGAGCAGATCCAGCAAGCGAGATACAGCACTGTCCACATGGGATCCCTATTGCCGACAAAGCACACAGCGACATCCTCTCCAAAATAGAGGGACATTTCTCCGACTTCTGGCAGAAATTAACACGCCTTTTGCTCCAGCCCTCTCTACCACACAAAGAAGCCTACTTACCCAAAAGCTCTCCACCTAAGCACCTAAGAAGATCAGTGCCGAGCCTCAAAATGGCGCCGAAGACATCACCCAAGCGCACTCAAGCAGGACCACAACCACGACCTAAAAAGCTGAACAGTGCGACACGCAAGTCACGAACCCCAACCTACCGGAGCATAGGCGATGTCAGGCAGTGGGCCCCTGCACTCAGAGACTGTGTCGTGTCCCCTGCTGGCATAGGCTGAGTCTGTCCCTGAGACTGATCCGCGAGGGGTAAATTCCAAGTAGCACGCCACAGCAGACCAGCTACGAGACTGTAATGTTATGTGCAAATATTCAATAGCATGTGTGGTTAATACTCATGATACGTATTTAATAATCTCTATGCCCACTGGCCCCCATGGCGTTATTTTACTTATCATTTCGTTTGCATTGTTATTAAGCGTTATCTTAATTATCATTTTGTGAAACGTTAATCCAGAGGCAGACTCTAAGGCATCCCCACTAGCGCAAAATCACAGCAACTGCTTAACTAAATATCCTCAGAGCAGTTAGCTCGACCCCAGGAGTCTACAAAACTACTCCTATCTCCTCAGAATGCCACTAGACAACTAATATTTTAAGTTTAACAAATGACATATCACCGAACAGCAACTAAATAAGCAACCACAGTAGTGACTTAACTAGCATGTACCTTAACGTATGGTTCATACCTAAGCAGTCATACTCCTGTTATACCCATCTATCTGGTCTATGAATGTTTGTCGTGGCATTATATATAATAGACAATACATTGAGAATAAGCTTACTAAACTGTATATTTAACATAAAATTGTGCACGCAAGAACATACCCATTACTGTTATAAATTTATGAAAAGCATGAGGAATGCCGTTGGGGTACCCCATGCACGCTGTTATATCATATGCACTATAAAAATAAAGAATTTAAAAAAAAAAAGAATGCTATACCTATCAAGGAGAGAATATCACCTCTGGCCGTTGAGGCTATTGTCGGGAGACCACTCTCTCAACCCTTAATTACACATGAAACCTTGCCCATTAACATGTCTATTGGTGCCTTACATAAAGAAGATGTAATATTCCAAGTTATTGCATCTCCTTCTTGCCCTATCATATTAGGCTTTCCTTGGCTTAGTAAGCACAACCCTCATATTGACTGGGCTAATCAGGAAATATTGGAATGGGGCAAGGATTGTAATGGGAAGTGTATGTTACACCTCACCAAGAGAGTAGGTACCATTAAATTACCCACTACTACACCTCAAACCCCCGAAGTTCCCATACAATACTGGGAGGTTAAGGAAGTATTTAGTAAGAGTCAGTCCAATATCTTACCTCCTCACAGGTCATATGACTGTTCCATAAATCTGTTACCCGGAGCTATGCCATCTAAAGGGGCAGTATATGCCTTATCGCCACAGGAGAGTAAAATAATGGAAGAATATATCAAAGACTCACTAAACAAGGGCCATATACGGAAATCATCCTCACCTGCTGGTGCAGGCTTCTTTTTTGTAGAAAAGAAAGATGGAGAATTACGTCCGTGCATTGACTACAGAGCATTAAATAAGATTACTGTTAAGAATGCCTTTCCTATTCCTCTCATTTCCGAATTGTTTGATGGACTCCAAGGTGCTAAGATCTTTACCAAACTGGATCTCAGGAGTGCATACAATTTGGTAAGAATCAAGGAAAATCATGAGTGGAAAACGGCATTTAACACTAGATCCGGGCCCTATGAGTACCTTGTTATGCCTTTTGGGCTATGCAATGCACCGGCCGTATTCCAGGATTTTATTAATTATGTACTCAGGGATTAAATCTATTCATTTGTCCTGGTTTATTTGGATGATATCCTTATTTATTCCCCTGACCTTTAAACCCACCACAAACAGGTCAAACAAGTATTGCAGACTTTACTGGAAAACAAATTTTATTGTAAATTGAAAAAATGCTTGTTTGATCAGACTGAAGTACAGTTTTTTGGGGTATAACATTTCTGCCTTTTCAGATGGACCCTAAGAAACTAGAGGCTGTTATACAGTGGCCAGTACCTAGCGGACTAAAAGCCATCCAAAGATTTATTGGGTTTGCGAACTATTACAGAAGATTTATCAAGGCGTTTTCTTCTGTAATAGCCCCCATCACCAATATGACACGTAAGGGGGCTAGTAGTACGGTATGGTCTAAGGAAGCTAGAGAAGCTTTTGAACTTCTTAAAAAAAAGTTTGCTTCTGCCGACATACTGAGACACCCTGACACCAGCAAACCCTTCATATTGGAAGTCGATGCCTCTGAAACTGGGGTAGGGACAGTTCTTTCTCGAAGGGAGAGTCAGGACACCCCTTTGCATCCTTGTGGTTACTTTTCCAGAACATTGTCTCCCGCTGAGCGCAATTATGATATTGGCAACAGAGAATTGTTGGCCATTGTCCTAGCGCTTAAAGAGTGGCGACATCTTTTGGAAGGTTCCAAGGATCCCCTTTTGATCATTACAGACCATAAGAATTTGGCTTATATAGGCGATGCTAAACGTCTATCTTCTAGACAGGCTAGATGGCCTTTGTTTCCGTCTCACTTTAACTTCTTTATAAATTACAGACCTGGTCACAAAAATGTGAAGGCTGATGCCTTGTCTTGACAGTTTGATACTGAGTCTTTACAGGAACACGAGACATCCCCTATCATGCCTCCTGAATGTATCATCGCTTCTACTGTTCTTTCACTGTCTTCTCCCTTGCTTGGTGCTATAATGGAGGCTCAGTCTCAGGCACCATGCAATAAACCACTAGACAAATTGTTTGTTCCATTAGGTGAAAAAAAGAATGTGCTGAGGGTGTTTCACGACAATGTGACTTCTGGACACCCAGGTATCAATAAATCCATATCTGTGATCACGAGATCATTTTGGTGGGATTCCCTTAAAAACGATATGAAGGATGATGTGCAGGCTTGTGCATTTTGTGCTGTTTCTAAGGTCCCTCATAAACTTCCTTGTGGTTTGTTGCAACCACTTCCTGTACCATGTGTTCCATGGTCCCACTTGTCAATGGACTTCATCGTTGAACTTCCATTCTTATGGTGGTTGACCATTTCTCCAAGATGGCTCATTTTATTCCACTTAAAAAATTGCCATCCTCTCAAGACCTGGTTCTTATCTTTATACGCGAGAGTGTCCGACTGCATGGCATTCCTCACAATATTGTGTCTGATATGGGCTCTCAGTTTGTGTCTCGGTTTTGGATGGCGTTCAGTAAACAGTTGGGCATTGAATTGTCTTTTTCTTCCCCTTACCATCCCCAAACTAATGGCACGGCTGAGAGGGCTAACCAGTCATTAGAGTTATATCTGCGTTGTTTTGTAAATAGCACTCTAGATAATTGGTCCGAATTACTACCCTTGGCCGAGTTTGCTAGAAACAATGCTACCCATGACTCTTCTGGTCACAGCCCATTCTTTGTTAATAACGGTTGTCATCCTACTGTCCTGACGGCTGTTTTCTCCGAGACAACTATCCCTGCTTTGGATGATCGCCTTTCTTCTATCCATGATACTTGGACCAAAGTTCATTCCGCTCTCAAAACTGCGGCTGATCGCTTCAAGTTCTATGCGAATAAACGGCGGGGTGCCAACCCCGCTTACCAAGTGGGTGACAGGGTATGGTTATCATCGCACAACATCAAATTGAAAGTTCCTAGTATGAAGTTTGCACCCAGATTCCTGAGCCCCTTTCGCATGCTTTGGAGGATCAACCCTGTGTCATATTCTATGGCCCTCCCGGCCTCATTACGTATTCCAAATACCTTTCATGTGTCGCTACTCAAACCTCTGGTTTGCAATAAATATACTGTCTCAAGTGTCCCTCCTCCTCCTTTAGTTGTTTCTGGACAGGAAGAGTATGAGGTCTCTTTCATTATTGATTCCAGGTTTTCTCGGGGCACTTTACAGTACTTGGTGGATTGGAAAGGTTATGGACCAGCCGATCGTTTTTGGGTTCCAGCATCTGATATAGATGCTGGCCGCAAGATTCGCTATTTTCACGCCAAGCTTCCTCTCAAGCCTGGTCCTGCCCGCCTGGTGGGCGTTCTTCAGGTGGGGGGAAATGTCACGTATTCATCCGCTTATAAAAATGTGGTTAATGACATTTACTGTCCACACAGGAAAAGTTGTGCCGAGCAGCAACTAAATCCACAGAAGGGTTAATGCTGAGCAGCAATTATGCAAATGGGAACCTGGTAACTGCCTTTGGGGTCAAAGGCCGGTTACAGCCTATCAGATCTAGAGGAGGGGTATTTAGGCCCAGTTCTCATCCTGCTCAGTGCCCTGTCGTGGTTTCCCTTGTGGTTGTCCGAGAGCGCGTTCCTTATTCAAGTTTCTTCTGGTTTTTGACTTTGGCTTTGATTTTGACTTCCCTGTATTCTGTATCCCTGACTTCTGGCTTTCTCTTATCGTTGTGTCTCTTTCTGTATCCCCTGACCTCGGCAAGTATCCTGACTATTCTTTGGTACGTTAAGTCCGGCCATTCTAAGGCCCGGTAATACGTTACCTATTAGTCATCTGTGTGACACAATTCTACGTGCTGGATCAATTAGTAATCCTGACACTTGGCTCTCCTTAAATTATAAGGGTAATCCAGACGTGGACCCCGTACTCACTGTGTTAACTAAGCACTAAGCTCACTAAGCTTTTGTCCGTTCTCATTCTTTCTTTTTTACATCTAACCTAGGCCTTGATTTAATAAGCATTACAAATGATTCAATACCATTGGAAAAGCTTCAAATGATTTATAGTCATCATTATAGTCTATGGGATTTCTTGTAGATAAATCAATTGGAAATTTTTCTAACAGCATTAAATCATTTGGAAATCCTATTAAATCAAAGCCCCATATAGATGTGGGACATTCACTCAGATGTGTCCATTCACTGGGATTTGACAGGCTGTACATAATGATAGATGTATGGGGTGGACGGGCCCCTTTAACCAGGCACAGGAATGCTCTCCAACGTTGTATGTTCCCCACCAATATATTCAGAGCAATGATGTGTAGAATACAACATTCTATGGTGATATTACATTCCTTATTGCGGTTGATGATCTAGGTCTCCCCAGTAACATGTCAGTCTGAGTTCTGAGCAGGCAGGAGATAGCTATAGATTCAATTACATTCC